GTGCATGACATTTGTGAGCTGGGGGGAGGGGGAGTACCTCAGCCCGGCCTGCACCCTCTCGCAATCCGGGACCCCTCAGGGGATGTCCGCCTGCTGGGGAGTGGGCCTAAGCCTGCAATCAGACATCCCCCGAGGAGTCCTTAGTACTGCCACAGAGGCAGGAGAGGCTCCTGCCACTGCTGCAGTGCTTGCCAGCTGTGAGCCAGGCTTCTGACTAAGCCGTGCTCCCGCCGTGGGAGCGCACTGACCATCAGGGGGCAGCTCTTGCGTTGAGCGTCTGCCCCCTGGTGGTCAGTGCGCATCATAGCGACTGGTCGTTTCACCACTCAGTCGATTTGTATATTAGGGTTTATTATATAGGATATATAAAATCTGTTACATATACCTGCAAATTTTTTTATTTTTTTAATATATATTTCTTGATTTCAGAGAGGAAGAGAGAGGGAGAGAGATAAAAACATCAATGATGACAGAGAATCATTGATTGGCTGCCTCCTGCACGCCCCACACTGGGGATTGAGCCCGCAATCCAGGCATGTGCCCTGACCAGGAATCATACCGTGACTCCTGGTTTATAGGTTGATGCTCAGCCACTGAGCTGTGCTGGCTGGGCTCTGCAGGTATTTTGATAAGCAAATTTTAAGTTCTTATAAAGTCCAATTTACAAAAAGATTGTTCTTATGGTTAGTCCTTTCTATGTCTGCTCTTTAAAATCTTTGCCAACCCCAGGATGATGATGATGATAATGTCCTAATATTTCTTATAGAAGCATTACAGTTTTAGCTTTTCTGTAATCCACCCAAACTTGATTTCTGAGTGGGATGAGATAAGGTTCACTTACCCGGTTTTCCACCATTTATGAAAGCATTTTCCCCAATGAATTTGGAGGCTCTGCTGGCACCAATGGTCTGTACACACATGGGTCTACTTCTGGGCTCTTTATTATGGTCCACTGATGTTTACCTTTACAGCACCCTGGTTACTGTGGCTTATAAACGTCCTAAAATCAGGTACAGGGAGTCCTCCTGCTTACATTCTCTTTCTTATGATTGCTTTGGGTATCCTAGCTCCTATTTTTTTAATACATTTTAAAATCAACTTACATGAAAAAGTCTATTGGAATATTGTTTGAGATTACATAAAATTTATAGCTCAGTTTGGGAAGAACTGACTTCTCAACGATACTGACTTTTCCACTTCATGAACGCGGTAGAGGTCTCTACTTATGAACTCTACTTTCCCTCAGAGATGTTTTATGATTTTCAGTACAGAGGTGTTGCACCTGTTTTGCTCAGTTGACTCCTAATAATTTCTTTGGAGGGGGGTGATATTTTAAAACTATTTTCTATTTCATTTTCCATTTGTTTGCTAATAGCATATATCTTCCAATTATTGTCAATATATTGACCTGACGAATTCAATTATTGCTTCTAGTCCTTCTTTACAGATTACTAGGATTTTCTATTTAAACAGTCACATCATCTACACACAGACATCTTTATTTCTCCCTTTCCAATCTTAAAGCCTTTTATGTCTTTCACTTTTCTTATTACAGTGGCTAGGACCTCCCCTGCGGAAGAGAAACGAAAGCGGACACCTTACCTGGTTCCAACTTCGGGGGGACATGCTCCATATCTCACATTACAGTAACAGGAAGTCAGCTGCGCGTTCTCTGTAAATGTGCGTTATCAGATTGAGACAGGGCCCTGGTAGTCTCAGCTGGCTGAGAGTTTTTTCCATGAATGGCTGCTGGATTTGCCAAGTCATTCTCTAAATTGATTGAGAAGATTATGTTTTTAAAAATCGTTTATTTGCTTCATGTGGTGACTTCCGTTGGCTGATTTTCAGATGTGAAAGCAAACTTGCAGTCCTGGAATAAATTCTACCTGGTCACTGTGAATCCCCCTTTGTATAGATTCAACCTGGTAACACTTGGTTAAGGATTTCTGTGTCCATGTTTATGGGAAATATTGGTCTGTAATTTTCTTTCTGGCGAAGTCTTTGCCAGGTATCAGGGTGACGCTGACCTTACAGAGTACATTGGGGAGGGTTCCCGCCTTTTCTGTCCTAAAAGGGTTTATGTAATATTGGTATTTTTTCCCCTTAAATTATTGGCAGAAATCAACAGCAAAGCTGACTAGGGCTTATTTTCTTCTTTGTTGGAAAGGTTTTAATAATAAACTAATTCCCTTTCATAAATCTCTTTATATTATCTGTTTCTTGTCATTTCCATTGCCAATATGAGATTTCAAGCAACTTGTCCATTTCATCTTAGCTGGATTTCATTGGCATAAACTTGTATAGTGTTCCTTTATTATCCTTTCGTTTTTCTGTAGAATATGTCGTGATTTTCCATGATATTCCTGATAAAGCTAATTTGTCTTTTCTCTCTTTTTGAGTAATCTGTGTATGAAATCTATAAATTTATAAATTGTATTAATCTTCTAAAAAAACAACTTGTTTCCTATTTCACTTATATCTGCTCTTTATAACTTCCTTCCTTCTCCTTACTTTGTGTTTAAGGGTTTAACTGGTTCTTTTTTCTAGACTAGGGGTGGGCAAACTTTTTGACTCGAGGGCCACAATGGGTTCTTAAACTGGACCAGAGGGCCGGAACAAAAGCATGGATGGAGTGTTTGTGTGAACTAATATAAATTCAAAGTAAACATCATTACATAAAAGGGTACGGTCTTTTTTTTTTTTAGTTTTATTCATTTCAAACGGGCTGTAGTTTGCCCACGGCTGTTCTAGATGCTTGAAATGGAAATGGAGATCATTAAGTTTATACCTTTCATCTTTTCCAATATGAACCCTGAAAGCAATGCATTTCCTCTATGAAATCTGACACGTATTTTCAT